GGAGGAGGAGGAGGAATGGAGGAATGGAGGAATGGAGGAATGGAGGAATGGAGGAATGGAGGAGTGGAGGAATGGAGGAATGAAGGAGGAGGAGGAGGAGGAGGAGGAGGGACCTGAACCCGCTAGGAGGAGGAAGAGGGTAAAGAAGAGGAGGAGGAAGAGGAACAACGATTCTATTGGGAGAGAAAGCGGCGGGCGGGGCGAGAGCGGTGTGAGGAGGAACGTGGCGGTGGAGGGCGCAGGATGGGGAAGGGGGGAGGAGAAGGAACGGGGGAAGTATTCGGAGAGGCAGCGCTTGGATCCCTGTGGTACGAACATGCTCGCGCCGGAAGCGAGCCAGCATGGTCGAACTGAATTTCTTGGCAGCAACGCTGGCAACGGAATGATCGCCGAACGCGAATTGGCACGCTTGGAGCGAACTTTCTGGCAAGCTCCATGGAAGTTCGAAATACGATGGCCTCCCGCCGCTCGCGTCATGGCAGGGGGGTGGCCGCCGTGCTGACCCGACGGGGGATCGCCCAGAGGGGCCCCCAGTCATCTCCTTTCCCACCCCTTGAGTGATCCAAGAGCTGGCTCTCCGAATCCTTCCCCCGTTCCTTCTCCTCCCCCCTTCCTCATCCTCTGCCCTCCACCACCACGTTTCTCCTCACCACTCTCGCCCTGCCCGCCGCTTGCTCTTCCAACGTTCTCATTCCTCCTCCTCCTCCTCCTCCTCCTCCTCCTCCTCCTCCTCCTCCTCCTCCTCCTCCTCCTCCTCCCTCCTCCTCCTCCTCCTCCTTCTCCTCCTCCTCTCCTCCTCCTCCTCCTCCTCCTCCTCCTCCTCCTCCTCTTTACCCTCCTCCTAGAGGGTTCAGGTCCCTCCTCCTCCTCCTCTCCTCCTCCTCCCCTCCTCCTCTCCTCCTCCTCCTCCCCCTCCCCCTCCTCATCCTCCCCCTCCTCCTCATCCTCCTCTTCCCTACTGGAAATGGTGGGGAGCCCGCGCCCCAGAGGTGAAGGACGTGCGCGAAGAGATGGAGAGCCTGAGATCCGCGCGCGGCGCGGCTCGCGGCGGGCGCGGCGGGCGGGGTCGGTCCTGAGCGCGCAACAGGAGGCCGGCCCCCTGCCATCTCATGGGCAGCGTGAGGGGGGGACAGGTTCAGGGAGGGACGCATTGACTACAGCCCTGATGGCCCACCCCGCCAGGGAAGGTGCGGATCCGTCATCGGGGGATGATCGTCGATCCATCGGCGATGGATCGTTGGTTCCGGGTCAAGGCACGTATCCCCTCCGGAGCCAGCCCTAACGTGTCCCCTCGCCATCACGGCCCGGTTTCTTCCACTGCCACCACCGCAGAGTGAAAGGCGGACGGCGCTCCAGGCATCGAACACTTCGGCACGCGCCAGGTTCGCTTGCGTGGTCTGGAGGGTAACGGATGTCTTGCCTCTGTAATTCCACGAGTGGTGGTGGAGCATCGGGCCACGGTGTTATTTGTGCAGCCTCGTCTCATTCCTTCTGCTTCCCTGTGCAGACCTCGCTGGCTCGAGGAAGGCGGAGATCCTCAGACCGACGACGGCATCGCCTCGATCGGCCCGCGCGTGTGTTTGCTTGGACCGAATCGGCGAGGTCGCCATCGACCATACGAGGTGGTGAAAACAGCAAACATAGTATGCGGTATCCGGCCGATGCGGACGTTCGTCGTGCAGGTAGGCAAGTCGATCGTTCATGCTTGTTTGAGGGGCGAGTTCGTTGCGCAGGTGCTTTGGGGCGGGCACAAGGTTATGGTCTAGCGTTCTCGAAAACTTTGGGCGAGTGGATCTTGACAGCGCTGCCAACGAGGCTGTCGAAGAGCTCAGACGGACGCCCCTCTTGATCCACAGCAAGGCAGGGAGGGCCTCGTCGGAGGACGCGCCCGTGTGGCAGCAGAAGGCGTCGTGGCCTTGCCTAGCGCCGAGGGTGGGTGTGGCGGCAGAAGTCGCGACTGAGCCAGCTGGGCACGCCTGCCTGGGCTAGCTGGTCAGAGCGAGCGTGCGGGCGCAAATCTCAGTGGTCACGCCTGCGAGGCCGCGTGGGCTTCCCCCATGGTGCAGGACGAGCGCACGAGGGGGCAATCATGGGTTGCGCCAAGCGGTGGGTGAGCGTTGCTGGATCAGGGCTCGCGGGGACTGCCTGGATTTACATATTAGCTTCTTGGCTTTGAAATCGGAACGACTGCCAAACATTTTGTATTAGCGACGGTGGCCATTCAAGGTCATGTGTGTTGTGTTGGATGGCAGGCGGCTTTTCAAAATCAGTGTGGCTTTGGTTAACTCAACGCTGTTTCGGTAATACACCCTACACGTTTCGGTCGCGCAACTTTGCGGGTGCCAGTGCCAAGTCCCACGGGCTTCGGCATTGCACCCCACGGTTCATGGATTGGAAATACCCAAGAAAATCAATGAAAAAACGCGGACCCAGGTTTCCATATTTGCAGACATAGGTTTCCGTGAGTGCGGGCGCGGGTTCGTAGAATTGCAAATCTTTCGCGCGGTAACAGTAATATGGGTTTTGGGTGTTCTTGTTGGTATGGTTTCTTCTTCATGTGCCCTTGGTCCAGTTCTCACATTCCAGTTCTTTTCAGCAGTCCAGCCAGCCCTTTCTCAGCTCTGTCTTGCTACGGTTTTTCTTTTCATGCCGGTGCCCTCCCAATTTGGTCTCCGTCCGTTCGGCTCCGTCAAGGTTTTGGTTTTCTTCCAGGTCCGTTTCGGGTATCGTTCTGTTTTTACCATTCGCAAGTTAGATCTCCAATCTTGCATGCTGGCTTCTTTCTCCCATTCCGCGCTTCTTGCGTGTTCAAAAGTCGTCCCTCTATGGTTCTCTATTGTTCCAGCAATGTTTTGTTCCAGTTTTTGTGGCCGACCTGCCGCCGTCGTGATTACTGCACAGGACATGGTGGCAGGGGAAAATTACAAGATAATAAAAATGCAAGAAAAAATAAACTCATGCCGGGGGAGGTGCAGGGAAATCACGATATTCACATAGAAGCCCCCGGGGTTTCATTCATATGGTCGTTTGTTTTGTCGCCGCTGAAAGAAAGAATCGTGGCCGTCGGAAGACGTCATCGGATTCCATTGTTTCATTTATTTATTTTAGTTTGGCACGGGCTTCCTCAAAAAAAGAAGGGACGGTGTTCAGTAACAAAGGGGCACGCGGTGCTACACAATAATATGTGGTTTTCGGATGTATTGATAATGATTGTTGTATCGCTTTGTTTGTCTATCATTTTTTTTCTGTTGTGGTGCCGTTTCTTTCCTGCTCTTTTTTTCATTGTCTCGCATGGGCATCTTTACAAGCCGCATGATTTCTAAACCAAACACAAAAAAAGAGTCTTATGGCTGCCGCGGCCTACAGGGGAGAATTCTCAGGAAAACGCTGGCAAATTTTGGATTTTGATTTTGCCACATATGTTCCCCCGATTCCGCTTTTGGTTACTATGTTGTCCTTCCGGCTCCAGCTTCTGATTTTTTATATAGCCTTTTCGCGAATTTCCATCGGATTTGTACATTGACGATATTTCAGCGCACCGAATTCAAATCCAATTCGAAAAACCGATGTTATATTTAATTTCTGATCGCATCACGTTTTGACGCTCGACGTTTCCTATGAATTCATCAAAACACGATGGCCCAGTTGCCTTGAAGTCATCACGGCTAATTTTAATGATCGAGGACGTGGGAACCCTTGACCTGTATTTGAACAAGTATAAACCAACCGCAACGGTGTAAGTAATCGAGCAGTGGTGCTTATGATATTTAGAAACCTCCATGGGGATCGGACCCCCTGAAAAGGATTATTGAAGCGATTTGTGGGTTGGGAGTGCATGCTGACCTCCAAGATTATTCTGATAACCCAAATGAGTCAAGATGGCAGTAAAGATGTCCCAAATGGTCCCCAGACAGCTCCAGCAGCCCGAAGAAGCTGTTTCATTGTTCGCGAAGAAAAGATTGAAATAGGATCCGTATCGTGTAAAATCAATATTGTAGCACAAGAATTGTATTAGAAAAAAGTGGAGATACTTATTCCGGACACACACCAAATGATTGGATTTGATTGTCTTAGGAATGAATTCCAATTATTTTGCGATGTGACGGTGTTGTTCCCGTTGAAGCGGGAAGGGGGCCCCAGATAAGGGACGATTCTCTAGACGATGCGGAAAGAGCACGACGATTTCCTTCGAGTGGGTTGGGTTGTGTATTTCTTGAATGCGTGAGCATACGGCCGTGATGGTAAAGAATGCCAGCATCAGTTCGTGAGCGCACTTGGAGATTCGATGCGCATGTTGGAAACATTGCTAGGTTATGTTTTTCATAAAGTTGTTCTAGAACGCTTGTTTAATACACGTTAGGCTAATGTAAGACAAGCGGAATTATCTGATAGGATGCTTGCGGTTTTAGTGTCTATCTTTCCACTACGAGATCATATAGGGTTTATGGTTGCATACGATTTGCAAGTCGTATAGGCGTTATTTTTTATATAAAAAACAACGTTCGCAATGTATCAACATTACTTCTTTATGTTCTACCCATTGTTCACTACTATTCGCTAAGTATTTGTTCAATGTCGCACCTACTTGCGTAAGGTTGTAATCGTTAAATTTGCGTGTTTTCTTGTCCGAAAGAAGAACGCTCAAACCGTTAAAGAATATCGTATACGCAATAGTCGTCGCTGACAATATTGTGCGGAAGGGACATGATGATGATAATGAGGGGGAGGAGGAGAAAAGGAAGAGAGGAGAGGAGCAGCAGGAGGAGGAGGAGAAGGAAGAGGACGAGGAGGAAGAGGGGAGGAGGAGGAGCGGGAGCAAAAGGAGGATGATGAAGAGGAACAACAAAAGCAGGAAGAAAAAATGAGCAAGAGTGAAGGTAAAAGGAAGAGCAGGAGGAAAAAAAAAGATATCAAGAGGATGATGAAGATGATGATGATGATGATGCTTATGATGATGATGATGATGATGATGATGATGATGATGATGATGATGATGATAATGATAAGTGTTGGCTGATGTTGGCTCAATGTTTCCCACCATTGGGCAACATTGTTGGCAAATGGCAAGTGTTGGCGTGTGTTGTCTAATGTTGGTTGGGTATTGGCTGGTGATGCAGCCTTGCCCAATGTTTCCAAATTGTATCCCCTATTGATGGCGCACCCTATCCAATTGGCGTTGCCTCGCAATTCCGCTATCGTGCTGGAGTGGGCGCCCAGGGGGGGCAACCTATAATTTATGGCGCAACCAAAAGGAGGACGCTTTTATGTTTAGCGGCAGAAGGCACAGTCTATAGCCGATTGATGCTTGTTATTTGGGTTGGTGGCGGGGCCTAGCTGGCGAATTGTTTCATGATAGCTTTATGTAAGTTGGGTGTCGTGGGAACTTCCTGGGCCGTCTTGGGGAAAATGTTGAGGCCATTTCGGCTTATTACAATGGATTGTGTTGCAAGCGTCTGGTGATGTGCCTCCAGCGCCTTCGGTCGGGGTGATGCTGCCTCAGACACCTTCACAATGATGATAATGTCCCAAGCGGAAGCCGACCCAAACCAAAAAGAAGAGGGGGAAAGAACGCAACATTACCCATCGACGGTGGAAAGTGCTGCGAATGGTCCAATCCAAATTCATGTTTTTCTTTTTTTCAACCTTTTTCAGTGTATATTATTCAATATTTTATATAGCTTATCAGCTTTCTACCTCCGGAAAGGTACCCAGAGGGTAAATCATTCATAAATTTGGCAGAAGCTCTTTTTGGCAAGTTGTAAAACACGAAAAAACATGTTTTTTTCTGCGGCTGACCCATTCATTTTTTAACCACGTAGGCTTGCATTTTTTTACGGCGTAGCCATGCATTTTTTTGCGGCGTTGTGATGCATATTTTTGTTCCGCTCGTCGCGCTGTAGTCGTTCATTTTTCAACCGTATAGTCGCGCATTCAGTTTCATGCATTTCTTGCGCGCGCATCGATGTGTTCGCCAAACGCCCGCCGCGAGAGGCCCCCGACATGGCCTAGGCTTCAGCTCAGCATGCGGCCCCCATAAGCACGCATACAGGCCCAGAAAACCCCCCAAGTGCGTTTT